AAAAATATTTCTTTTTTATAGTTAGGGTCAATTCATGTAAACTACCTTATATTTCCATTTTAAATTTAAAGGGCCTACAAAGTCAAATTTTCTCCCAAGCAACTATTTGAGGGATTGGGATCCTCTACTAATGGATCCTCTACTAATATATACTAATAAAGAGATCTTAGCTTTTGATTTATCAATCAAAGGCCAAGATCTTATCCTTATCCTCCCCTTACTTTTGCTCATGAGGAGATCTTGGCCTTTGATTGATAAATTAAAGGCCAAGATTCCATTAGAAGATATTAGAAAGCTCCTCATTAGTAGAGGATCCCAATCCCTATTTGAGCCCACTTTGCTGTTATAGTTTTTCTAAAATTCCAACAATATCCTCACTTGATCTCACATGTAAAACGCATGACTTTGTTGATGCCAATGTTATTGTAGGCAATAAAAATTGCCTTTAATCCTTATCAGAGAAGTTCAGAACAAAACTGCTAAAACCTCTCCTTATCAGAGAAGTTCAGAACAAAACTGCTAAAACCTCGCCCGAAATAGCAGAAAAAGGGGAAAACGTAGATATCTCCCAAACCGTAAGGAATTTGGCGAAACGGAGGAAGCGAACCGAAGCCTACGTCTCGGTTCGGATGGCCCCATCTCGTCGAGATAGGCGATTTTCATATATAATTCGTCCAATTCCGACTTACGGTTTGAAAGTTACGGCCTATTCTTCGATCCATGCTCAGGAGCTCGCCTGCAGCTCGAATTTCGCCTGCACGATCAAGACCCAAGTCTGCCTGCGCACCTGAGCTCGCCTGCAAACCCAGTTCGCCTGCTAGCTCGCCTGCAGATCCAAGTCTGCCTGCGCACCTGAGCTCGCCTGCAGACCCAGTTCGCCTGCAAACTCGCCTGCAGACCCAAGTCTGCCTGCAGTCCCAAACTCGCCTGCAGACTCAGCTCGCCTGCAAGCTCGCTTGCAGACCCAAGTCTACCTGCAGTCCTAAGCTCGCCTGCAGACCCACGCTGCAGACTCGCCAGCTCACTGTCAACTGCCCACTTGGAGTATGGGAATAGTTACATCAGTGGTCAAATCCCACAAATCAAGGGAGAGGGCACAATACCCCAAGACCGTCAAGCGGCCGCTCACAGTACGAACGATTGGGCAGGTGTCGAGTCGGCCTGAACATTCATAAATGCAGCTCACCTCGGCTGTCCGAGTCAGGAGCCGGATCCGCCGGCATTCGGCGAGCTGTCCATGCCCACTCGAGTACCGGGAACCCGCTTTCCAACCTCTCTCGACCTGAAAAGAGAAGGCACAGTACTCCAGGCCCGCCAAATGGCCGCGCACAGTACGAGTGATCGGACAGGTGCCAGATCAACCTGTGTGTTCATAAATGCAACTCAGCTCATCGGTCCAAGTCAAGAGCTGGAACCGCCAGCGCACAGTGAGCTAGCCCAATCCACTCGAGTAATGGACGACCGCTCCTAGGCGACAGGACGTGAAGCACGACCCATCGAGTGACGGTTCGTAGTACAGAGGAGCGACAAGATGTCTCTCAACAGTGTATGGTCACATCCCATGATTCAAGGAGCGGCCACGCCATCTCTCCTCTATTTAAGAACCTCGCCCGGCTACAGGAAAGGGGTTCACACATAGTTAATTGATTAATTCAATCAGTTAACTGAACCACTGGCTCTCGACTCCCAACGGAGTCGACAACAAGCTCTCTGCATCACTTTTGCATTGCAGCGCCACTTCCTAGTTCTGAGCCCCGATCGCCTTTCTTATAAATACAAACGAAACTCCTTTCTTCGGAAGAATCAAATTTTCACCCTACAGAAGATGGCGACCACAGTGGGAGAATCCGTTCATTCAGATGAATTGGTGGTGGCGCAGTCTGACGAAGTTGCTGCAGGGACTACTGTTGAGTCCCTTGTGATCAAATTCGAAGGGTACTTACAATCGTCCTCTTCTCGCAGCAATACATCTCGCGATGGTTGCAGAGTCGTGCGGGTGGCCCAGCCCCAAGAGGCTGAGGCAACCAAGCCTGAGGGATCTACCCAAGCCGAGGCAGGGGGTTCTTTTCCCCCCGAACCAGTTGAGGCCGAGCCGAGATTCGAGAATGCAGGTCTAGGGGCTGCTGAATGGGTCGATGAACGATCCTCGCAGACCCCTGTGCAAGAGGAATCAACCATTTGTGTCGACGCAGAATACGCCTCCGTCGTCGACATGAACGCTCCTCGTTCAAAAAGATCCAAACAGCGGCGACGAAAAGCTCTCGCTCGTTTCGAGGCACAATCCCTCATCCCCCACGACAGCCTGAAATATTATTCAGGCTTGAGAGGAATCAACCTCTTGAGCCAGGTTCCCATTTTTGGCGAACCGCTCAAATCGGGCGAGCCTAGCAGTTTAGGCGAACCTATCTCTTTGAGCCAGGTTCCCAGTTTCGGCGAACCGCTCAAATCAGGCGAGCCTAACGGCTTAGGCAAGCCCAACCTCTTGAGCCAGGTTCCCAGTTTTAGCGAACCGCTCAAATCGGACGAGCCTGGCAGTTTAGGCGAGCCCCACTCTGTGAGCAAGGTGCTCAATTTTGGCGAACCAAGGGCACCTGGCGAACTCTGCAGTTCAAGAGGGCTTCGTCAAACAAGCGAACTTCACCAAGCTCGCCTGACGGCCCAAGATCGCCAGAAAGGCGAAGCAACAGCTCGCCCGACAGGCGCAGGCACACTGTGCCAATCTCGCCTGACGGGCGAACCTCGCCAGCATGAACCTCGCCAACACGCTCACGCCCAAATGGGGGTGGCCACCTCGTTTGCCTGCACGGGTCTGACGTCCGTCTCTGACGACGACGACGATTGCTCAGCAGTGGCAATGTCGGAGACTTCAAGCTCAGTTCAGGGCAAGCACACAAATGTGCACATGACTGACATCCCTGAGGAGATGTCTAGGAGGCTCGACGAGCAACAAGCAACCATCGACTCCCTGAAGGAGATGTTGGAACAGCTCCTGAGCGAGAAGAAGAGGAAGAGAGAGAGGACTTCGCGGGCTTCGTATAAATCCTTGAAGCACAAAGAGCAGGTGCCTAGTCCTTCTCACTCCTCATCCGAGTCATCTAGAGGAGCGTCATCTTCGGGCCATAACCCAAGAGACAAGAGGTTTGACGATCTCCAAAGTCAACTCGACGCCTTGAAGCTCCAGAAGCATGCGAACAAGCTGGGGGTTGTCAGACCGTATCCAATTGAATGGGATGCGGTCTCCTACCCGGCAAAGTTCGAGCCGCTGGACCTCCTGCAGTTCAATGGAAAGGGTTCTCCTACCCAGCACATCTACTACTTCCAGGCGCAAACTGGACACATAGTGGGAAACGATCCCATTATGACTCGACTGTTCATTGGTACCCTCAAGGGGGTCGCTTTTGAATGGTTTCGCAGATTGGAGCCCGGGTCCATCACCTGCTGGAAGGACATGGAAAGGCTCTTCGTGGCCAGATTCTTCGATGATGACACAGAAGTATCTATGGCCACCCTGCTAACTGTGAAGCAGAGGAAGACAGAGTCTGTAAGCAGCTTTGTCAAGAGATTCAGAAACCGATCGTTGCATTCCCGCGATCGAGTTTCCGAGGCCACGCTCATCGAGATGTGCCGGAACAATCTCTCCATCAGCGTTCTGTCCAATATGGGCGCTGTTGAAGCTCGCTCATGGAAAGACTTACTCCGCCAAGGAGAACAAGTCAAGAGCATGCTCAAGCATATGGGTGACGAAGACCCACATGAATTTCGAGGGGATGATGACCAAGATGCCTTGGTAGTGGAGACCATTTCCTCATATCCTACGATTTCCCCCGTTAGTCCTCTTCAATAGGACGGCGGGCCCACAAAACTATCAAGTTAATTGTTACCTCTGATAGTCAGTTCTCCATCAGTCTCATTTAACTGGACGATTGAATCTTTTAAA